TGCTGTGGACTGCTCTGCAACTTCTAAACTCCTCATCCACAACTATCATCCATTGACTGTAATTCAGGATGTACCTAGAACTCCCTGAAAAAAAATATTATTGTATTTCAGAATATACAGAAAAATCACTTAGCTTTAAGATTTCAATTATGGGCAGTCCAATATCCCAGATCCCTGAATACCAGTGGAAATCAACCTCTGTTATAAAAACCAATTATTACCCACACAATACTGAGCTGTTGTTGATGAGTAGCAGGAAATTCCATTAAAAACTTATATTCTCAATAGCATTCCCTCCTTATTAAGACTCTTTGATTGTCAAAATAATTTGCAGTTTGTGGCTTGCTGGTACTGAATACACAAACAGTTGAGGAAAAAGACAAAATTTCTTAGATCTACAGCTTGTTACATAACTGTTTCATGTTTCAGACATACTCATGAAACAAACATTTTTATGTTCTGAATAAATGTTTTAACACATTTATTCTCTTGCATAAGAATAAAGTTGTCATGTATCCTTCAGAAAAACACTCACAAGCTTTAAAGTGCAAAATAGGTCATCACAAACACAGTACCTAATACCATGTTCTCTACAGCTCCATCTCAGAAGTCCATTTTCAGATGGCCACCACATTTAATGCCTTTAACTAGCTGTCTCTTGCTTTTTCTTATACCGTGCGACAAATATGGTCCACTTCTTTTAAAAGGCAAAGGAGACATTCAGATAACCCATTCCTGCTACATTTCAAAGTTTGCCTATTGGCTGCAGCTCTCTGCAATAGCCTCCTTCGAAAAACCTCCGCCAAAACTGACAATCAACCTGAGCTGGAGGAGGAACTTGGGAAACAAGAACCTGAGAGAATTGGATGTGCAGGCTGCATGCAAATGCTGTGTGAGTGATGACAGACCTTAGTGCCACTGAAGGTACACAAAGTTCAAGTTTTTAGCTCTCCCATCCTCTGTAGCAGTTAAGGAAAAACGCATTGCCTTACCGTTTGTTCAGCCTGAGACAGATGTGTGCGCTTACAAGCCTTGTTTCAATGTTTAATGTACCTGAGAATTATGCAGATGACATGAGAGATTCATGAATATGTATGCATCTCAAATAAAATACATCAGCATGCTTCAAAAGAGTCCCCTTCCACAAATGAAGCTAGAAAAAAAAAAAAACCCAAACAACAGAGGTTGTGGAATAATCATAATTCAAGGTATGACAATGCTGATATGGGAGGAGAAGAGGAAGCACTACAGAAAGCTGGAATTAAGACCAAAAGTAGGGAATACTTGGGCATTTCTCTTGTTTGCAAATAAAGAAAATATTATTTACCACAGTTTTAAAATAAAAACTACTAAATTATCAATCTAAAATGAGCATGAGTTTTCACATGAAAATATTGAATCAACATTAGATGCTACAGAGCATTTGATAACGAGAAGTTTATAGACGATAAAATGCATTTAATAAACTAGCAGTGTTGTCAGAAATCTCCATTGCATTACTTAACTGGGGGTAAGGAGAAAATGTTCCTCTCCTTTTTCCTGTCATTCCTTTGACTGAGAACTCTCTTAAAAAATTGCCATAAATGCAATTGAAACAATTTGTTAAAGAATTTTTTTTAAATTCATCAAAAAATTAAAGTCCTCTAAGCTGTTTAGTCTATAAAAAAGAGGACTTGTCATAGTCAAAATAACACTTTGTTTACTCTGACACAACCAAGAGGAAATTCCTTAAAGACCAGTCAATATAAAAGTCAGCATTGGCTAGAAATTATTCTGTCCCCAGTGAACTAGAAATAATTCTTGACAATCAGACACTTCAGCAATCATCTTAGATGAATCAGATCATTACAGTATTCTTTGGAACCTCATAGACTACTAATGTGCCTTGAAACAGATAATGAACAGGCAATGCCAATTGCATTTGCAGCCAAAAAACTCCATTCTTATTGAAATGCATGGCATTATTACAGGTCCCAGATAAAAGTATCAAAAAGAGAAGAAAGTGTTCAAGACAGTGCCAATGAACTGTCAGACTGGAATATCTAGAGAAGAGCTGGAACAAGTGCTAACAATAAGAGCAGCACTCATACAGGAAAAGCTTGGTCTAATCAAAACAGTTAAAGACAATCCTAACAAGTTAAAACTGTGTCATCATTACACAACGATACATGACAGCTAGACCCCACACACTGTATTTCCTGAATTTAGGCTAAACTAAGCTAAGTTCGTGATAACTGAACAACTCAAAACATCATGAAAGTAATTCAGTAGCACTGTAAATGAAGAACTCTGACACACTCATTCATTAGGGAGAAGAGAAAGGGCAAGTCCTCTTCCCTTTCCAGCATCTGCATCACAGCACGTGGGGTGACAAGACACCTCAGTTACCAGCTGCAGAGAGGATAAGTGGTTTTAAGGAAGCCTTCTTTATCTACTTGGATTTTATTTGCAGATAGTATTAAAATAAAGCAAGAGCTATTTTTTAATGTCACACAATAATATGTAGAACATAAACAGATACTTGATTTAATTAGTTTGGACCTGAAAGATATTACAGTTTTAACATGCAGTACCTTGCTGACCTCTGTTAAAAAGACTTACAGCAACCACTCAAGGCTGATTACTTGCATGGACTGCAACCATATAAAACAAACAAGACAGGTAAATTCTTACTGTGATCTATTCAGACTGCAGATCTGTCTACATGTGTGCCTTGCTAAGGTGAACTTGGTAAAAAAAAAGACTATAAAAAGAGTAAAATACAGCCTAAAGCCCAACATGATATAAGCTACAGCCACCTCACAGATGTGCATGCAGATTCTAAACCTTTACAATGAGACCCTGACTCAAAACGAGGTTACAGAACTAGCACTGCTCTCCATCTTCCAACACATATTCTCCTCTTTTTCCCCCTTCATCCACTACCTTATTTCCCACCTCCACTACTGTAAATCTGGACACTGGGTCCCACTTCCTCTTAATTTTTACAACAGTGTAGTTCCAGTTGTCCTACCCTGGCACACTACTCAGGGCATAACAGTGCTTTTTCACATCTTTCACACATCCTACAGCAACTGCAGGCCACAAAGTTGTGGTTTCTATGACTCATGAAAGACACAGTAATCTTGCAAGTTGTATAAATAGAAAAACATGCAATTAAACATATGCATGAGCTAAACGCATCAAAAGACAAGAGATCAACAGGAAAAGCACTAGTGGGAGAGGAATTAAAATGCCTCTGATTCTTTTGCAAGTTATTTTGTGGTTGGACTTCATCTCAAAGGGCTTTTCCAACCTAAAGGTTCCTCTGACTGTCATGTCCAGACAATTTTTAGTGCTCTGTTAATTACAGAGTAACTTGAAAGAAATATTCATTAACTCCAAAATGTTGGGGTTTTTTTATTATAGTGTGATTTTGGGGTTGATTTATTTTTCTTATTCATTAGCCATCAATTTCTAAATAATTGACCATAGCTTGCACATTAAGGACAAGATTCAATGCACCACTAACTCTGTAGTTGTCTGTCTTTCCTCTGCAATGGCATCAGGATTAAAAGTATTATGATGGTGCTAAGAGAAGAGCTACAAATTACCGGACATTAGTTTAGCCTAAACAGAAAAAGTTAGCACAAGGGTTTATGTTGAGTATATACCTACATCCTCTCACATCCCTACTTGATGAGTGCAACAAACTTTTTCCAACTCTTTAATATTTTCTGTAGCTTCTTTGCTGCAATCTCTTTAGTTCAATTTCTGACAAAGAAAGAGCCACATAAGAATCAAAGACATACACTGACTCATTTGTTTCAGGACCATTAAATACACTGTATATGACTACCAGTGTTAGATTTGTATCTGTCTCATCACCTTCCCATGCCTGCCTGACAATCAGTAGGTCAAATGCTTTTGTGGCTTATTTGGTATCTTGCAGTTCTTATTTCTCAAACCAACCATCTTTCCCATCACAATCCATGTCTGTTTTCTCAGAAAAATTAAATCTCTTCCTGCATTCCTAAAAAAAAAAAATTATACCAATTGCAGCCCTCTGTCAGCTCCTTTAACTTTCTAATCAATTTATAATGCACAAATTAATACCAACTTATTATCTGAATATACATTTTGAAGGGTTTCCTAGGGTTAACACTCAAAGAAGAGATTCTTTCTCTGTAAGACACAAAGCCTTCAAGTACATCGTGAAGTTCTTAGCAAGAGATCCTGCCTGCCCCTGGTGCTCAGTAGCTCGGCGTGCTGCCAAGCACACTCCCACTGCTCAAAGCCAGTTACACTGTTGGAAGGCAAGTGCACACCAAGAGCACTGTGCTGATGTGCATCTCCATGCCCAGGTGCAGTTAACACATCCCTTTTCAGAAACAGTGCTGAAAAGTTCTACAGAACTGTTTGCTGAGAGGAGCAAACAGTTCTGTAGAACTGCTATTGCCATTTTATTTTTAGAAGGCTTTTCACAGATACCCATCAAAGCTGTTCTCCTGCTATCATCATAAGCCATTTCCTATACAAGCCAAGCACAAAAAAACCCAAAACTCTACCACAACTCAATTTTTTTGTTTGATAAAGACATTGGCATTATAGGCATAAGACTCACTGAGAATAAGGTACCATTAAAATAAGCCCTATTCCCTCGGTGAGAGGTTGTAGTGCCCTGGAATACATGCCCATATTCTGTTGTGAATTACACATCTGAATTTGTCACAATATCATGATCCTAATAGGGAAACATCTTCACATTTGGTACACTGAAGCAGAAGAAAGCAAATTCCCCAGTAAAAGGGAGACCATTTGTGAGGTGGACCATTCTTGTTTTCAGGAATGAAATGGATGGAGGGATAAAGCATTGACCATAAACTGAAACCCGAATTACACCCAAAAATTCAGACCTGAAATTCAGTTTCTGCCACTTAGGTTACACCAGGTATTGTACTAATAGCCTTCTACTGAAATTAGGCTTGAAACAAAAGTGTACCAAACAGAAACAGCCTCACCTCAATGAGATAGTGAGAACACAAACTGAGAAGCTCCAGAAGCTGCAAATGACTCCCAGCTGCCAGGACGTCCTGTATCACCCCTGGTTCCAAGAGGATCTGTAAAGAAGAAAAGGGAAGGTTTGTCATCTGGAAGATGTACTTAGAGTACTTGTAGAATATATTAAAAGCCTTTGTTATTTCAGATATTTAAGTCAACATAAAGAACAGAATACAATAAAGCACATAGAAAAGTATTTACAGAATAGGGACAGATTTTCTAAAGACTTTCTAAAGAAAATCTAAAGATTTTCTAAAGTTCATCTGAATTTCCCAAAGGATTTTTAAACTTATTTTTGTTATTTTCTTTTTCCTGTGAGAGTCCCTAGTTCACAATAGCCCCTAAATCCTTTGCAACTAAATGTGTGCTGTTTAAGGAGGAGACTTTTCAAAATAACAGAACCTCCTTTTGTTATCTGTATAGTTAGATCCTTCCACATATACTGAAGAATCAGGCCAACAGAATTAACTATGAAGTCTACACTATCAGCATTATTCATGCATGTAAAACATATACAGTCTAGGAACACCCTGCCTATTCTGCATGGTGCCACTCCATAATTTTCCTAACCGCTTTCTTCACTTTAGAGAGCAGGGCTCTGAAAGCACAATGAGCATGTTGCTGGGGAAGTGCCAGAAAGGGCTTGGAAACGAAGACTGATTATTCAGTTACTCGCTCACATGCAACTCCTACTCATTTCAATTAAAATCATGTACAGGCAGCAGTAAAGATAATTGGGCCACAGCTCACAGACCGCTGTCCTGGGGTCAGCTTGTTAGACCATTCCTTTTGGGGCACAAAAATGTCTTTGGGAATATGGACACTGGTCAACTTCCTATTAACAATCAGACTACAAACTACCTAGATTAAAATTTTTTTAAGTAGCGCAACATCCCCAAAAAACATCAGAAATGTATGAGAAAAATTAAATCTTCAAAGATGCTTGCTCTATTCAATTTTATCCTCGTATTTCCCCTGGCAACTTCGGTTTCACACCACATGAGGTCAGTCTCTCACTGCTCCACAGGGAAGCAAAGCTTGCTTTCAGATTCTTTTCTTTCTGCTCACACAATTCAGTTTTATCTCATAGCATCATTTGTATACCTCAAGTGCAGTTGAACAAGGAAAATGGAAAACAAAATGGAAGATACTCAACTGCATCTTTTGTAGTTTAACTATTTTTGATGGAAATGAAAAAAAGTGTATGCATTTCTTCAAGCAAAATCACTAAGTTACTCCAACATAATGGTTATATTAGGAGGAGGAGAGAAGGCGATTGATCCTTGCTTATATCAAGAACTCATTTACATCGAGTTCTGGCACCATATGAAATCCTTAATGCTTGTGAAAATCACTACATTTATTAATACTAGGTTTTAAGTGTACATTATATGTCCTTTACATACTATATAAAACATGAAGGTTCTTTATCTAGCCAGAAATCCATGTAAGGATCTTACTGTAAATAAGAAGCAGGCCCAGCACAACCCAGGTTTTTGGCTGGTGCTACTGAGGTTGCTATGAATGATGAGAGGTAGTTGAACAGAAAGTTAGAATTCATTTCAGTAACAAAAGTATCTCCTACAGACACAGATATTAAAAACAAACAAACAAAAGCATGTAGCTCTCAAGCATTTTAAAGTGAGAACTCAAAGTCAGACTAAACAAGCTGGTACAGACCTTGCAGTGTTTTTTATTCAGACATGATTGACACTGAGGAAGCTGCCATCCTCTGGCACATTACTTACTAAGTGTCAGCCAGAGAAGCAGAACCCTAAGCAGATTAGTACCTTGTAGGCATAGACAAACTATATTTAACTGCAATAATATTAATGTATTTTAAAGCTACAGCAATCCATTTATAAATAATACTAGTAGCACTATGAGATAAGAAGTAGGACAAGAGGTAAGGAGGGTGGCTGGCTACTGTCGAGAGATGATTTGCACAAGTCAGCAACAAAAGTTCTTTTCAAGATGGCAGATGTATTTCCTACATGGTCTTCTATTTTTAAAGCCCTCCTTTACCATGCAAGTTATATTCTGCTGGGGAAACAGATTCATTATTGTGTTTCCCAAGATAAACTATACTTTCCTCCATTATCACTTCACAGAACTTTCCTTTAAATGGAACTATCTGAACTTTTATTCGGTACTCATTTGGATATAGGCAAAACCATCTATGCTAAATGTTCACCATCGGGAAACTACATGGTGGTAAAATCCACAAGGAAAAGGAAATGATAACTAAAGAAGAAAATATTGCAAGCCTTCCTTCTACTGAAACTGGGGTAATTCATAATTATGCCAGACCTGTGAACTTTTATACCCTAAAGCAATTGCTTGGTTTTTATTAATTACCAGCATAGGTGTTTATATGTTTTACAGGTCTTCCAGGTCAATACTAAGAGTAAATGCACATAAATACCATGAAATGCACCCCACAAGCACACACAGTGACTGACACTGCTCTGCTTGTCTAACTCTCAAAGCAATAGATCTGAGGTCTACAGAATGATGCTTATTGCAAATTAAGGACAGCGGAACTAAGGTCTACTTTGGACTCACAATTTCAAAATTCATCATAAATTTTAGTGTGAAAAAAGAGAGAGAAGCTTAATCATTTTCTGCAATCCATCCTTGACCCAAGCATTATGAGGCATAATTACTGGGGCAGAAACTTAAGAATAATCTGGACTCATCAAATTCAGACAAAAACTGCAACCTTCACCAGTGAAGAATGTACACAGGCTGTATTAGAACGGTTACTGTACTATTTTTACATTAAGATTAATTAGATGCAATGCAGGTACTGCACCTGGCTGCACCTTACAATCATCCCTCTACCCAATCCTTATTTCGAGGGGTTTTCATTATACTTTCAACTTCTCTCTGGCATATGATGGTACCCAAGAAAATCCCCTTAAGCAACTTTTCCCTGCATACAACAGGCAGAACTTGTGATACATGAGTAACTTCCATTCCTAAGCCATCAAGCCTGACATACTGCTCGTTTTCAAGTTGATTTACTTTGATAAACTACTTTGCTCTTACAATGACTGTTTTCAAACAGGAAACCCTTTCCTCAAAGCTGCCTTTCACTCTCCATCATGCCACAAACCCTCCACAGAGGATGCATAAAACACAGTCTGGTCCCTACTGTGGTCAGATCCACAGCCCAAAGGATCGAAGCAATGCAAAATCTGGCTCTGTGTAACAGAATGCTGAGGTCACAGATCCAGAAAGGTAGATTACAAAATTTCTTAGATCCACTATTTTTAGACATACAGTATTAATCTGTCTGAAAACTTATCTACTTATACTGCGTGGATATATTGCATAAAGTTTCTCTTCAAATGCAAGAACTAGAAAATATTAAATTAAACCTGACCTTGTAAAACACAGTACTGAGGCAGAAAAGGCAATTTTATAACAAGTCCCATTGTTACAGAAACACAGGAGCCTTAACATCCTGCCCCATATTTTTACCCTCCAGCCAGCCAGCAATTCAAAACTAGAATTTATTCTCTCTTACTCCAAGATTTCTTCTTCCTTTCCCAACTCAACCTGCATCCCCTCCGACACCTTAGGACTCTGGGTAAGCATGGGAAAAAACTCATATAATGTATCTTGCCTCTCTCTTCAATCTTCTTTGTGACTTGTGGCAACAGAGTGTATAAGAACCACCAACCCTTCTTAAGAACAACTACTCAGGCCTCGCCTCCACATTGTCCAGATCAAAAACGTCCTCCTACTCTTTTAATGCCTCCTGAACCCACCCTCCTACAGCAAACAAAGCCCTATAGGCCTACCAAAAAAAAAAAAAAAAAAAAAAAAAAAGGTCAGAGCAAACAGAGCAATAACAGCCAAAAAAGAATGAAAAGAAAACTCCTCAAACTGTCCTTTCCAGCAAATCAACTAACAGCCTGAGGGAGAAGGTAAGATCCAGATTAACTGTCACATCTGTGGAGTCTCATGAGGCTTATATCTGGAAAGAACAACAATATAATGTTCTATTCCCTGAACACTGCAGGCCACTACATTCATCCACACATTTTTAAAGACACTAAACAATAGCTGCTTTTGGCCCAAGAAGACTAAACTGCATACCCAGACAAAGATCAAGAGGTTGAAGATGTACTTTTATCACCTTCATTCCAGCTACTCATATATCCCCCATATTTTTCTCACTTCCATACAGCTGTTTGTGGGACAATGGAAAAGTGAGATGGTGGCATGATCCACATTAAAAATACACCAGTATTATGCTGTAACAGTAAGGAAATGTGCAGTCATATTTAATTTGGGAGAAAATAACTCTGCAAAAACAGCACAGCAAACTAGTGGCTTCTTAGTGCTTAATACCAAGTTCTCTTAAGTCCCATTTTCCAAGATTAAGGAAATATGCAGCCCTGTCAGAAAATTCTAGAAAGTAAACGGAATGAAATTTAACAGAGAAAACAAGAAAAAAATGTTCTAAGATTCCTGCCACTCTGATGAAAAAAAAAAATTCCTCCTTGACTCCATCTGCAGTGATCAGCATTTCAAACAAGACAGGCATCAAACACAAGTATCAGTTGTTTTTGCCTGATGGAGATGATTCTGTGTGCTTCAGAGCAATCAAACACCTTAACTTTTCTTTTAAAGTAATTTAGATTGCATTTCACTCTCAACCAGATAGCACTTCTGCCTGTCTCCCTGTTCATTCATGATTCAGTGGAATACTGAGCTCCTTGCACATTGACAAGTGCTGCTTCCAAAAAGTGAGCAAGGAAAGAATGTTCTAGTCCCTGCAGGCAACTGCCCAAAGCCCTGGCACACAATGTTTGGAAGCACTTGCTACAAAATCCAGATGTCTCATTAGCCAACGCCAGAAAGCATCACAACCAGCATTTCTGATACATTATAACATTTTTCCAGAAAATTAGAAGAAAATCCATGTTAAGTGCACAGCACACACATCATAAAATTATAGAGTGTTTCAATTCAGAAGGCACCCATAAAGATCATCCAGTCCTATCTTTCTGCTAATTGCAGGACTATCCAAAACTAAACACAAGTCCAGACACTCCTTGAACCCTGATAAGCTTGGTGTCATGACCACTTCCCTGGAGACACTGTTCCAGTGACCTGCCACCTTTTCATTATGTCCAGCCTGAACTTTCCTTGACATAGCTTCACACCACTATGAAGTACCACTACTATAATTAAAAAGGGTTTGGATAAGCAAGACTCCAAGAAAATTCACTATTCTTTGGGAAGGTGTTTCATTACCTTAATCACTTTCAGCACTAGAAAAGCTCTCTTATCCCTAGCTAAATTCCTGTCTGGAGCAAATAAAGCAAATATTCAATTTTGGCTACAATTAAGTACATAAAGTGAGTTAATTAAAGCTCTGTATTAGTCTAAGCCTTTTAGGCAATCTCTAGCTGAATTGTGAACCCAAGACCTAGTAGCTATAACCCCTAGTGTTAGATACAGAAACAAGATTATCTTGAGAAGTGAAAAAGGAAGTGCCCAAGTCTAAGTATCAAATTAATATTTCTTGCTTTGAAATTGCAATGAAAAATTATATTACGTATTTACAGTAAGACACAGACCTGTTGTTCTCAGTTATCCATCACTTTGGCATATTGTCCCCAGCAGAAAAGAGCTGAATTCATTTTTGCTAGGGACAGCAGGTAATTTAATTGAATCATTTTAATCTAAAAGCAGCCAATGGAACTGCTGTGCACAGGATGCAGAAGGTCACTTACCCAAGAAAATCAACCATCACAACACAGCTTTGCAATACACCTCCACCCACACGAGAGGATTAACGCAATAAGGGGCATTACGATATTGACAGCTGCCTTACCCTGGTCTTAACTAAAAATGGCAGATGAAATACTGGTTGATCACCAGAAACACTGCCAGCATCAGATAAGGCAGGGAGTTGATAAGAGATTAAAGCCAATATTCTACAAAGAATCAAAGAAATTATAAGGAGAAATGGTGTCATCTTATTGCAAAAGTTCCATACCTTCTCAGTGATTGCTCATGGGCAGCTCCTCCCAGTCTGAAGATCCCAGTCTGAAGCATTTCAGTATGCAGGGGACTCAGTTTGTATTTTTGTTGAATTAGGATAACAATCATCCATTGCAAATTAAAGCCAGTGCTCCTCTAATTTATCAGCCAGCTACACTGGCCTATTAATGGCTACCCCATTCCTCCAAGATTATGTCTCTTTCTAACAAACTAGTTAAAATTTTAAAAGGTAGTCAAAAAAGAGTAGAAAACAATGACCATGAGTCTCTAACACAGTGATTTAGGCTCTTATTTTGACAGCAAGAATTATGAGCTCCAAACTTTTTGCCTAGAAATGCTTCTCTATAAGAGTATCCTAAAACATATCGTTTGTAAATTGATTGCACTTGATCCATCTTGCTTCCAAGGCACATCTGACACTCACAAAATGCCCTTGTGAGAAGAAAGGGTGAGTTATCTATTCACTGAGACTCCTGCCTGGCCTTACCACTGCCAGCTATGAAGTAAAAGAGAGAATGACCTAAAAGCCCTTTTGGGAAGAAAGGATACAGCAACTACAACAGGAAAAGAGTCACCCAAGAAGGAGAAGAGTTGTATCTCTGAATTCTGAATATGGGGATTACTTGGTAAAATGCCTATGAACAAGATGAAACATATCTAAGACATTTTTTGCTGAAGATTTTATTATTAAAGGATTAGTCAGAACATACATGCGAAGAACAAAATAAAAATCTACTGCCATTCCTTTTGTCAGCCTTTATTTATTTCTGTAACAAACTTATTTCTTTGTAATTATTAAGGACCATAGTGATAGATTAGTTCAGTTGCAGATATATTATTTATCCTTAACTTGAGTTTTAAAACATTCTTTTCTTTTGAACAACCAATTTTTCCTATAAAGCAAAATATTTTCAACAGTAATTACAATAAGGTACTGTCTGCCTAAGTAGACAGGACAATGAAGGTTGTATTTGAAGTCCAGAGGAAGATTTCAAATTAACAAAAAGATTAAGGATGACAAAGTTTAATTTCAGATGTAATGGTCATCCTAAAAATTAAATTTCTTCATTTTAGTAAATTTCCAAAACTTAGATACCAAATACTGCCATCATGCAATATTAAGTATTTCCACCAGATGTCTCCAGCATATTAGTTTACACAGAAAGCTGCACTCAATTTGAAGTGTAATGCACCAAATATGTCTAGTATATTAAAGAAGAGATGAAAGCTGCAACTAATTACTTATCTGTTTAGACACGGATATTTTAGGGAGTTCCACAATGTTACCTCGGCAAACACCACATTTTTTTCAACTCACATTTTAGCTAAATATGATTTTAAAAAATAGAAAAAATAGAGCTCATCATTTTCACTTTTAAGAGGCACTTCAGATCATATCTTGATACCCATGTTTTTAGAGCAATATAAGCTTGTATTTGGCGTAATGACTTTTGGATTACTGAGAAATATTTTGTCTTATAAAAACAGGAAGAGTTTGCAAACCAAGCTAAAGACAATTCTGTTTTCAGGACTCTCTGATATAAGCATGGAGTAATCCAGTTATTTATTAATAGCCTTTGTGGATTACTCCCACTCACTACCTTGAAATGTTCACCCAGATTCTGTCAGTCTGAGTCAGAACACAAGCAATGCTCAATACATACACAGTGCCAGGAAAGAATTCCAAGGACGAAAGGGAAACGACACTGCTAATTCTCAGACCCACATTTCACTGAGTTGTGCTTCAAAGGCATCTTTACATGACAACTCCTACAGAATCCTTCTCATTTGTCTGTGCATCAAAGTAGCACTTGGTACATCTGACAGACATGACAGAGCCAGCCTCGCCTCATAATCACCTATATGTATGAGCAACTACACACGTGCACATCTATATTTAACTCAGGAAACCCACTCACTTTTTCAAAGTAGGCTATGCCTGAAAATGAGACTCAAAAGTCTCTGAAGGGCCAATGACAGAAGGAACACATTTCCAAGGGATCTGAGGATACTATCCTGGAAGCAACCTGGGGTCACTTGCTGGGTTACATAAAAGTCACAACCATCCTTTCAAAGGTTCTCAATGTATTTTACACGGGTTGTTAGACTTTGGATTTTGCAGAAAATGGGGAATGACTCTAATCACAGCAGATGGGATGGGTCAGATAGAAATCAATTACAACTCGTCTTCTAAAATGATACTTTCATTTAACCAGAGTTTTCTCTTCAGAATAATAAACCTAGAGTTTTAAATTACTAATATGATAATGTATAGGTACCTAACATTTTCATTTTTATCGAAGACATTAAATTTTTAACAAAAGCTTTCAACTGAAAGAAAAAAAAAGCATACCAATGACAAGCCAGGTACTGAGATCTTCAACTAATTTACTAATATAGTATGGCATCTCTGTTTATTATTTATATCAAAGATATCTTTGAATAAGTAATGTTTTCCAAAACAGCACAAATTCAATTTTTTTTCAAAGAAATTCAAGTGCTAGTCTCTAAGACCAATGCTAAAGCCTAACTGTTTTCTGGGCTGGTCACAAAAATAGCTCCTTTAAAACATGTAAAATTTCCCCCCTTATTTTTACTTGTTTAGTTTAAAAAGAAAAACAAAAAACAAACAAACAAACAAACAAAAAACACATAAGGCTTAGACTCCATTATACATTGGAGGCATTCCACATACTCCATACCACATATGGAAGCAGATGCCTTAAATTTTTACAACCCAACAACTCTTCAGCATATCATAGCATGGATTTAAGCCTTCCTTTCAAAATTAACTAATAAACGTCACTAGTGCGTCAATGGGCTCAAATACCGTAGTGATATTCCAGAAATAGTTTGGTTATCTAGAATTTTAAAGTACAGACCAAAAATAGCTGAGTGTTCTGAGCTCACTATCCATGAACTCTGAACTGAGACAAAGTCACACAGCAACACTTTCCAAGCATGCAGTGCAGAGATATGGTAGGTCATAAATACTTCTTTCCTCTTTTTTTTTTGGGGGGGGGGGGGATTTTTTTGGCAAGAGGCAGAGGAAAAAGGAGCATCACTCTGCGTTTTCTGAAGTACCATAATGAATGGGCCAAAATGAAGATGTATAGTATCTATAAGCATTTAGAAAGATATCTCAACTTCATCTGTCCAGAGAGTAAGTGACTACTTTTCCCCTCAGTTACATAATTTGTCAAACACTGCAGAGTTTATGAATATTTATTATAAGGGAAACACTTTTCTTTACTTTTTACTTTTACTTTTAATTTCGCAAGCAGATTCAACTCACATTAAGATTTTATGAATAGTCAGGCAACCATAAAAAGGGCTTGCAAGCCCTACATGGTTCCCTACCTGACAATGATGCACATAAAGCAGTTTTTATTAAACAATCCTTCTAAAGAAAAATTCCACCACAGTACACGAAAATTAAGGTCTGTTAAATCAAAATAGCTTGTACTGAGCAGTGCACAAGAAAAAGATCTTCTAGTGTCTCTAGAAAGGTCATACTCAGTTTTTAATGCAGTTGCTTTTGATCATGTTTCTTAATTTGAAGAACTGTACAATACCTGTCCAGTATATGCAAAGTCCAGGGCTTGTTTTAAACCAAGGCTTGTGACACCATGTAAATTCACCTCATCAGCTTCACTCTCAACCATGCAGAGACTGAACATCGCCTATGAGAAAAAACAGAAATGCCATTAAGCAATTTTGGATAAGAATTCCAAATAGCAGCAGCCTTGAGAATCAGAATGAGATCTATACCAAGTTTTCAGTAACACCACAGCAATCAATCTTGTAACTGAGTCCTTTTATCATTAAAGAAATACAAAAACTTATTCTAGATAAACTGAGATAAATCCTTTTCTTCAATCTATATATACTTCTTAATTAAGTAATTCAGGTGAAATCAGTGAGAACAGTCAAACAAAAAGGTATCACTCAATAAAAAAGACAACTGGACTCTGGGAAAATAATAATTTACACAAGTGCCACTAAAAGCAATACTCAGGTATAGTATCATTGTATATAAGAAGGAGCAATAATCCATACACAATTACTTGAGAAGAAGGGGCAGTTAAAACAGTCTTTTATAAGCAACCCTTATTAAATGAGCATCTCAGACTGTAACATGAGCAATGCAGTAGTCAAATTATTAAATGAAGAGGAATGATGGAGATGCAGACACCCAAACTTACAATCTCTCCTTACTTGTTACTGCCTTAGTTTCTCATATCATAAAGTCTAAGCTGAAGACAGGCAAAGTGCTATGGAATTTCCCTGAATATACCACTGAGGAGAGCAACTCTCCCTTTCATCCAGATCATTTGTCTTCAGTGTCTCCTGGAATGAAGCAATCATTCTCAGTCTCTTGAATCCTTGTGAGAATCTTCTCATCTCCATTAAACTTCTTTGCCCTTCACTCTTCCCTCCCAACCTGTACTCCTGCTACACTACCCCTACTTACCACTCCTTCCCTACTTACCACCCATTCTCCATTCTTTGGCACCCTCCCACACTTTTTTAACAAAATACACCGCTCAGAGTTTTTAAACAGTAAACTGTGAACAAATAAACTGAACAGTGGCCATCTGCCACTACTAAATAAAGTCTAAACTTACCCCCAAGTAGGTTTTGTGCTATACTCAATGTCTTTAGGGAGGCTACCAAACTACACCTTGGGGAACTCCAGTAACAAAGCACTTCTCATGGACATAACCCCTGCTACGTTTTTTCTATACTCTGGCTGATACCTGCAGAAGCTGAGATAGTCAACCAGCTCATTGGATTTCATATATGCAATCTGTCCACCAAGCAGTGCTGAATTTGAAAGGAAAAAATAAGCCCTACCCTCTCCAACTATTTAGCACATAAGAATGACTACACCATCTTTACCCAAACTATTCCATGTTTCACCTAGACTGAGGTGGCTTCAAGAACTGAGTGCTTCCTGCAAATAAGTAATTTCTTCAGAAAATATTAGTACTTTTCATAAGTAAAACACGGTAATTTGGCATAAATCTGTTTCCTGGAAATCATCCAAAATAAACAAGAATTACATCCATCATACAGTCATTCCTTCTGATTTTGCAATTTCTGTTGAATTAAAGTGATACCAGGGCTTCTTCCAAACTGGCAACAGAAAAGAAGCAAGAAATACTTTAAGAGCTTTACCAAACAAATACAGTAAGACAGATCCATGAAATATACTTAGGGAAAAAACCAAAAAAAAACTTCTAACAAGTTCAGCCACATTTCTTATCCATTAAAAATGCAATCAGAGGTGGATATTTTGTTGTCATCTAATAGCTAATGTGAGGCTTCAGAGCCTGCCGGGAGCTGCAAGCTACTCATCAGCCACCTACTCTTTGGAAAAGCTGGCCTGCAGTCGCTGTCTGGGAGAGATAAACTTCAATTCTCAGAAATTCACTACTAGATAAATATTTTGGAAAATACTCCTTTGACACACCAATTCCTGAATAAATAGTAAAGTCTCAAAGCAACAGCTGTCTGCTGAGGGGTAGATTTGCACACCTTCTGTATGCTCAACCCCGTCACTGACTTCCTGCAGAAAAGCTGGGAATGCTGAAAGGTAAAAGATGCTCTGTGCCCTCCAACCATGCTACATTAACAACCACTACAGACCTGTGCATAGGAACCATCTAAAGGCAGTGTGGCTACTAATACAGCTCTTATTCTGGTCAAGGGATAATATTCCACACAATGAGTTAAGCTTACAAATACAAAGAAACACTTAACTGAATCATATCTGTAAACCAGGAATCATTCCTATATGACTTCTGTCTACATTTACTAACTTTACCTTAAAGAGATTGTTTTAACACAGACGTTCCAACATGGTCTTTACACAGGGTTTATTATTACACCTAACTTAGCAAACTCAGCAGGATCAGACACTAACTCAGCCGCTGTCCATAATCACCCACACTGACAGTAAGAAACAGTAAGAAACACAGCCTCCAGCAGAGCTTTGACCCCTGCCAACTTGCACTCTCCCAGGTAATGCCCAGACTGTGGTCCAGGAGATAACTCAAGCCATGGCTGTTCCAAATAGGCAGCACGGACAAAGCCAAAACGTTCACAGAGGTTTAGCCATATTGTCACAAACCATGTTATACCAGTCTTTTTAGGGCCAGAAAACAAGCCTTCATTCACCTTATTTATAACTACAAATATACAAAAGTCTAAGAAGGCAGTGGGCTATCAGAACTGTAGCTTCCAGTAAGATGCAAAACTGTGGCTTTGTGGAGAATCATGCAACAGTCTGAGCTGGAAGGGACCATAAAGATTATCTAGTTCCAACCCCCCTGCCAGGGACTGAGGCACCTTCCACTAAACCAGCTTGTTGTTGAAAACCCCACCCAACCTGGCCTTGAAGACTTGCAGGGCCAGGGCACCCACAAATTCTCTGGCTATCCTCACAGAACAGGATTTCTTCTAATATCTAATCTAAACCTACTCTCTTCCACTTAAACTGAAAGCCTTCTCCTATCACTACATGCCCTTATCACAAGTCCCTCTCTAGCTTTCTTGAAGATTCTCTCTACATAATGAAAGGACACACACCCTGAAGCCTTCTCTTTTTCAGGCTGAACAGACACGATTCTCTCAGCCTTTCTTCATAGGAGAAGTCCTTCTAATCAGTTTGGTGGCCTTCTTCTGGACTGACTCCAATAGGTCAAAGTCCTTCCTATACTGAGGACCTCAAAGCAGGATGCAGCACTCCAGGTGGGGTCCCATGAGAACAGAATAGAGGGGGAAAATCCCCTCTCTTTCCCTGCTGGCCATGCTGCTCTGGATGCAGCCCATAATATGTCTGGCTTTCCAGGCTATGAGTGCACATTACTGGCTCATGTCCAGCCTCTCATCTCCCATCACCATCAGGTCTTTCTCATCAAGGTTGCTTTCCATGTGTCCATCCGCCAGCCTGCCTTAATACCAGGGTTGCCTGAACCCAGGTGCAGCACATTGCATTTGGTCTTATTAAGCCACAGGAGATTCCCATGGGCCCATTTCTAAAGCTTGTCCAGGCCCCTCTGGATCCCATCCCATCTTTCAGGTGTGTTAACTGCAACTCCCAGCTTGGTGTCCTCTGCAAATCTGCTAAGGGTGCACTCAATCACTTGGATTAAGGTATTAAATAACACTGGTCCAAATACAGACTCCTGTGGGACACCACTTGTCACTGATGCCCACCAAAACTCTAAGCCATTCACCTCTGGAAGCAACTGTCCATCTACCAGTCCCCTCACTGAATCCATCTCTCTCTAATTTAGAGACAAGGATGTTGTGGGAGACTGGGTGAAAGACCTTACAAAAGTTCAGATAGATGATGTCTGTAGCTCTTTCCTTGTCCACTGGGGTAGTCATACCTCAAATATTCTGTGAAAGTTTTTGAAACTGAATAGGAACTATATCTATTTTTCAGGAAACAAGGCCAAAGAATTTGATCAAAAGACAATGCCTGCAATGGTCCTCAGACAGTTCACATTCAGCTGAACTTGATTAGCCTCCAGGAAAGTAGTCTCCCACATAAATGAACTTTGTACTGCTCACTGATCCACGCTGCCTTTACCAGCAGGCAAATTTCCTTGTTAGCCTGACAGTTTTTGAGGTTTAATCCAGCATGAAAAAAATAATCTGCTCTACCATAGGCAGAAGTTGAACTCAAACTCAGCCTTTAATTTGCACTCCTGTACCTCTATATTGTACTTTCAGCTGTAAAAAAAATATGGACAATTACATTGTGATTTGAAACTTCACCAATATCTGGAGAATGAGTTATGGTTGAGCTGTTAAACTCCAGTTTCAGATGCATCCCTGAAAACACTCTAAGGTTTTGTGAGCTTATATAGATCCATCAGTCATGCTTTTAATACACGGCTACTAGCCTACTTTATTTTTCCCTTGGGTACATTAAAAACCAATAAGATAAATATCTCAGGTGAATGCAGAAGTGACAGACAAGAAAAACAAATTAAATACAAAATATTTGGACAAATGCACTACTCAAAGTCAACCCTATCTGAAAAGCTATCAAATTGACTAAGCATGAAATGTTAATAATGTTATTTATTGGCTTAATTCAACAATGCTATTATACTTTATTTAAAAACATTTCAGCTTTAAATAAAATCTATTTGATCATGCCTCATTTCTGCTTCAAGACCTTCAAGAGACTTGAAAGTACAAGTTGCCACTGTTATCCAATAATCCTCTTTATAATAAAACCCACTGATGAGACGACTTACAATTTTTTCTAGCTTCTTAAAAATCCAGATCTTGTTCTGCCACCCAATCATATAATTAGGCAACATTGTGGTAAATAGATTGATTGTTTACATTCTGATATTTCAGTTAAGATTTTAAGTAAGTAAACCAAATCCCCCAATGCAAAGTAAGTACAATCCACTTGCCATTTTTTGGCAACTGCTCCAAAATTCAGCTCTCAACATGCTGACACAAATGGATGTCTTCCATTTGTGGGATTCCACCTGAGGTCACACTTATTTCAGATGCTATGGATTTGGATGGCCTTATTTTTGTGAGGCAGGCAAATACTTTATTAGCTCCTCTTTTTGGAGGAAGGAAGGAATCAACCCTCCATTCTTCTTCTAATCTTGGCCTGAAACAGAAACAAAGCTACAGAATAAAG